CTGGGAGAACACAAACCCTTTCTCAAAAAAAGTAATAAAATTATCTCCTCTTTTCTGTGTTCTGGCAAGTCCATCCTACCGTTATCACTGACAAAGGGTCAAATTAGATGTATTTTCTTCAGTGTACCCCTCGCCCTGAAACGCCCGCTTTACCCTTCCCTGCCCCTCCACCCCCGCCCCTATTCGCTTAACAAATATTGCCTCGTGCAAAACAAAGTCGCTGTCCTTCTGGAACTTACCGATCTCCATGTCCACATGGTTTATGGGATGTGGGACTGGGCAAAAAGCAAGCACGTCGTGGCTCAAATGCTTACTGCAGACAACAAACCCTGGACTTGCTGGCTCACCCTTTAAACATGTTTGTTGTGAACGTTTAGAAGTGCTGACTTCCTGTTCTCAAAGAATTTCATGACATTCCCCTTGCATCGGTTGGATTCCATGCGCCAAGCAGAACCGCGACCGAGAACCTCAGGGCATAATGCTTCCTAAACGGACTGGGGTGAGGCTGCTACTGACTGGTCTCGAGGACGCCGGAAGAGCGGAGAGCCTGGGCTTTTACCCGGAATTCACACTTAGTTCGTGGACATTTAAAGCTTCACTGAGAAATGATTAAGAGGAAATGGCTTCCCAATGGTCACGGAAGACTAGAAACCGGGAGTAATGAGAGGGCTACAGAGGACATTTAGCAAGATTCACACCTCTGGACGCGTTGTAAATCCCTGCTACCTGGTTCGCTGGCCTGGATCCATTTGTCTAACATCCAGTGTTACTTCCTCATTCCAAATAAGGCTCAGAATATACTACGGCCATCACTTAACTCTAACCACATTTTATTAAGCTGTGTGTAAATTAAACCAAAACATGAAGCCAATATCCATTAAGCCACTTAAGAAAAATGGAGGAGGGGAGGAGTATGTGGCCAAAGAAGGTTAACGATGTTGTGTCTACGTAATACCTGTCTCTGAGGAGTGACTACATCTTCATAGCTTTTGGAAAGATTATGTTCTCAAGAGATGTAGACGTCTGGGCTTGGAACTTGCTTTGCGGAAGGCTGAAAATTGCTTCTAAGAGAATCAAATGGAACAAAACACAAAGAATCGCTTTTAGGATAATTAAAACTATTTTGGATTTTTTATTTATCAATCTGGTTTCTAATATAATCTTAGTTAAATGAAAGACATTCACAAAGAATATTAGGCATACATACATAATTTCCTGCTTTCATTCTAGTTTACATGCTGTTGCTTTTAGAGAGTGAAATTTTGTGTTATTTCCCAGGGATGGAACCCTAACTGACTTTACAGAAAGAATGTTTAGCCCAACTTTTCACAATTCTAACCTCCGTAGTCACCATGCTCACTGAGAAAATGAAAAACGTGACAAAACGAAACTTAGAATCAGTAACACTTAGAAGCGTTTCTTGGCCTACTTGAGAGGCATCCGCTAGAAGCGAACTGAGGCTTGGAAATGGTGCGGATCGCCCAAGTAGACCTGTTCTTAAAGCACATTTTCATCTGGAAAATAAACTCGTAGATGCATGTTAGAACTTAACACCTATGAGCCCCTGTATCTTTAGCACCTTCTGGCGGGCTTCGTTCACCAGGCGATACCAGCTTTACCACGCGGTTTCCCTCCTTCACTGACAATGAGCTTGACACACCACCTGTATGCGAAACTACTGCTGTGCAAGAAATCGAGAGTTTCCAGCATCGTCAATGCAGAGCCAGCGGGCTACGTGCGAAAGTCACATTTCTTTTTCGTGTTGTCTTATTTATAAGCCAGTCCCTCCAGTTGCACTGAGGGCAGGCGTAAGCTACAAGTCACACCCAATGGGAACTTGGGGCTTTCATGCATGTGAAGCTCCAATTGCTCTGGCCTTGGGCTGTGCTGTGCCCCTTCCCTGCCCCCAGGGTGACAGATTAGCTTCCTGGCAGTCTACCTGACTAGTAGTCTAGCAGCTGTACAGCGATGCCCCGTAAGTCTCCATGTTCTTGGATGTAGCCACGTTGCTTCTTTTGATGTGACTTACAACCATGGGCCGGAAAGCAAGTCTTCCACTAGGCTCCATTTACTTTGGCCTTTACACCTGGACTCCTAAGTGTTCTACAGTCAAGGATCAGTGCACCTCACAATTGTCCTATAAAGTAGTAAAACAGCTCTGACTCAAATATGGGGCAAAGGAGAACAAAGGTCTGGTGACCTGACGAAGGTCGCAGGGCAGAGCAGAGAGAGAGAGAAGGGGTCAGGACTGTCTCAGCTGACTCTCAGGGTCCTCACTTCCCAAAATATCATTTAAAAATGGTGCCCGTTGGGTTTTTAGCCCAAATCAGCTAGACACTCTGTTATTGTTTCTTACGTATTTCAGGATCAGCCAGTTCTACTGGGGCTAGTAATTTAGGACCTATTTTTGGCTGGCTAACTGGAATTCAGTTTGATAATTTGCTGCCTTTCTTTTTGAAAACTGCTAGATAGGATGAAGAAAAGGAGAAAATATGAAGAGGTTCAAACCAGGTACTGTATCCTTTGGAAGCGGGAGACATACAGGGCCCACGAAAACGTTTATAGCATAGGAGAAAGGAGGAGAGAAAGAACAAGTGGAGGGACAGAAAAGACCTGACCCTGTTGGAGGGGGAAATAAAAGCTTCTTCTTGGCGCTGCGTTTTCACATCTGCTAACTGCCTGCTTTCTCCTTAAGTGCGTACTGCACTTGGCTTGGCGGGCGTCTCTGTGCCCGGCCCTCAGCTGGCACCTGGTGGCTGCTGAACAGATGATGTTCGACAGGAGAACGAAGGCCCCTCTTTGGCTCCTGCCAGTTCTTTTTCCGGGGCCTCTGAACTCCTGCTCCGTTTAGTAAGGGAAGCTCATTTATCAAATGCAGGGCAATGGGAAATTTTCCAAGAAAGGCACTCCAAAGTCTTGTTCCCAGCTCCTCAATAAAAACCTCACAAGTCTCTTTTTTTTTGAGCAGTTGGTTGGAAGCCACAGGGGAAATGTTGTCTTATACATTAAAAAGGGCCAGAGAAGGGCTTAATAATAACATAACTTCTTACCTCTGGAGATAGCTTCCTCGAGCTCCAGGGAATGTTATTTTCAGAGCTTAGGATGGCGTTGATTTCACATTCATTCGAAGTCCCTACTCCGAGCTTCTCGAAATGTAGGTGCTTGCTTTATATGCAGAGGATGATTCCTGAACAACCAACCCTAAATCCACCATCAGCTTTCCCTGAAACTTTAAAATGGCCCCTTGTTTTTAAAAAACGGTTTTGTTTTTGTCAGTTCTTATTATGGAAAGATGCTACCACGGGCCTATTTGTGCTTGCTTGATCATGCATTGGAATATAAGATGTCAAGATTTTGTGAAACATGATGGACAAAGCGAGATGAGGCACTGAGCTTCGGTCCTGATGTCATGGCTATTTGGGCCGCATTGTCCTAAACTTTCAAGGGAGGTAGCTGGAAAAAGCTTTCTTTTCTTCACATAAAGAAATTATTTACCATTTAGAATGTTCTGTATATGGCCTTCATAACTGGATTTAGGAATTTTTATGAAGACAACAATTTTCATGAAGACTTCCAGCACTCACTTGGCACTTAGTTACTTAATACCTTATCCACTTTTTGTGTCCGGTCTGCTGGCCAGACTGCAACCTCTTTAAGGGCAGAGACTGCCATACCTGTCTGTCCTAAAAGATGGTGATGTGGGAGAGCCACTGATGCCAGCAGTCGTTCTAGTGCCCTAGGTTTGAAAATTTGGTGAGATGTGTTGGGTTTTATTTTTCACCTTTTGTGGCAGGAAAGTGAGAAGAAGAGAGAGAAGAGAAAGGGTGAGAGCATTTTAGCATCCGGGGCTGTTTCGATTGTTTGAATTCCCTAACCTGAGACAAAGCATAGAGAACAAAGCTATCGTGCACGGGAAATGCAAGAAATAATCAATGTCCATCAAGCATTATTTGTTAAGTACAAAAGTAGTACCTATAAAATAGGTTAAAAAGAATTAGAAACATTTCTATAACATAATGTTTAAATTTTGCCATTTCAATTTGACAGTATGTAAAAGAATCCCCAATGGTAGTCATCTTGGTTAAATAAATAGCCTTTGTTTTCAATATGTCATTTGTAAATGCTACATTGTTCTGAGAGTCTGTCATATTAGATACTTCTCATTTTTAATGCGTTTCATGGAAGAATGATCAAGACCTTTCTAAGTTAAGGGTGTTCATGACAGTGCCTGAGGTCATATTCCACAAGAAAGGGGCATTCGGATCCCCTCTTATCCTGTTACCTTGACTCGAAGGGGTTAACTGGTCCAGTGCCTCCTGTGGAATGTGCCATGTACTTGTGCCATGGGCCACTGGCAGCTCTGGATAACATTTTTCTTACTCAAGAAATTGAGATCTTCCAATAAGTTAGGCATTTGACAAGTATGTATATATAACCCAAGCAAACTAGAATTTCCATTTTATTGAGACAGGCTATCAGGAAATAGCATCAATACCTTTTAGGAATCATCTTACCTAGGCAGGAGAAGAAAAAAGATGATCATATTTAATTTCTTAAAATGTTGGGATCTAAAAAAACTTTTAAAAGTATTTAAGTACAAGAGCCTGGATTATAATCATCATAAATGGTAGTCATTCTAGAAATAACTGTGTAATCTTTTAATAAATAAATGAAATTATTTTTGGATGCTTTGATAGGAGCTTTGTCTTATTGGTTTACAGACAAAATCTATTATTTTTAAATAAAATCAATGCATTATTAGTTGGAATAAGTTGGTCAAAGTTCCTGATTAAACTGAGGTGTGCTTGACTAGACATATCTATTTTCTGAGAAGTGACAATCAGTTACGACTTTTGTGATGAACTTGAGGTTCAAATGCACCTGCCAGCAAAGCTCCCTGAATCATGGCACCATGTCTATTTGGATGGAACACAGTACATGGAGTAGATGACTTAAAACATGGCAGTGTTTCCCATATGACTCCAGAGGAAGAAAAATAATAATAGCAATCAGAACTTGGCTTTATTGTGGGTGTCCATTCAGAAGACACTGTCTGCTAGGATTTTGTCACAGGGGCTTAAAAACCAGAGATTTAAAGCAAAATAAGAACAACCTAATTTGCCCATTCACTAGAACGTGTCCATACTCTTCCTGCAATTACAAAAGAAACAGAGCAAACAAATCGTAATATCTGGCTCTAATTGCCCAGTGAGGTGCTTACACATACACATAATGCAACCCAGTATGTTGAAGGTAAAGCGGAAGAAAAATCTTTCACAACAGCCAGTTACAACTGATAGTTACAGATACTGAAGAGGTCTAAGATTACATACGTGGAGCCATATGATCTTGTAGTATTCGATGAAAAATAAAACCAACCACCCAATATGAAACTACTTGCTCTGGTTCTTAAGGCTCTCTCCATGGTGCTGATTATGCTGTAACCAACAGGTGCCATGCACTTTCTTTCTTCAGCTGCTTCAGGCAGGAACTGTGAGGAAGTTGGCATCGAATGAGGTCGCTTTGCAAACTGGCAAATGACAGGTTCTCTTTGCCCCTTCCTCTCCTTCTCCAATTTATAGGACACTAAAAGAAACATTATATGGACACGAACTAGTAACTACAACAGCCCATTAAAAGCTGACTAGATGCAAAAGGGAGAGAATGCTGGAGGCCATATGGATGTGCAACAGCTTTTCTCAAGAAAAAATGTCCACATTCTAAGGGCTCTTAAACATGTAGAAAACTTGCCCTGTTACCATGGGTTTTTAGAACACCTCTAAACACACACAAAATAAGACAGATATTACCTACAAATTTCAACCATTGCTGAAACTCTAAAAGCATTTTTGTATTACTTTGTTTCGATACTCAGCTATAAAGAAATATTAAAAAGTATTTTTTTGTGGTAATCAGTCTCAAGAATTTTCTGTTGCTTGCCTCCCCCAACTTGTGCTGATATTTTAAGGATGTGCTCAAGAGTGTGAAGCAGGGTGCTTTTGTCCCTTTCCCTTGCCCCTAACAATCCCCCCCATCCGACAGCCACAGAGCCACCCCTCAGATGAGCCACTCCTTTTTGCTTTCATCGATGGTCTCCGTGAAGTTGGGGTCGTTGTTCATGATGGCAGCGTCTGCGCTCTCTGCTGACTCTGCCCCCTTCGCTTCGTTGGTGTGGTAGGTGCCCTTGTGGCGGAACATGTAGCGAATGAGGAAGACCAAGGTGCAGAGAATGGTGAAAATCACCACGGCGATGACCCCTGGTGGAGAGAGGAGAACCAGAGGTTAAACGAACCTTACACACCCCTCAGACGCTCTTTTCCCCACTTCGCCTCGGTCCCCTCAAACACCACCCTCTCTCATGTAAAATACAAAACTGCAAAACAACAACTATAAAAACTGATAGAACTGAAAGGAGAATCAGATCAATTCACAGTTATAGTTGGAGATTTCAACATTCTTTTCTCAGTAACTGACATGACAATTAAACAGAAAATCAGTAATAATTCAGAAGACTTCAGAAACAGTATTAACAAACTTGACTGAAGGAGATACTACTAATCCTACATATCTTTCTGATAATAGGAGGAAATACTACTTGACTCATTTTATGAAGCCGGTATTATCTTGATACTAAAACCAGACAAAGATATTAAAAAAGAGGGAAGTATTGAGTAATATTCCTCTTCAATAAAATTTTAGCAAATCAAACCCAGCAATATGTAAAAAAGAATATATTATAATGAAATCGTGTTAATTCTAGAAATGCGAGATTGGTTTAACATTAAAAATAAGCTATGTAATTTAACTGCATTAGCTAATAAAGGAGAAAAATCATATGATCATTTCGATAGATGGAGAAAAAGCATATGACAAACTTCAACACCCATCTATCATAAAGCCTCTCAGGGAACGATCAGTAGAAGGAAGCTATCTCAACAAGATAAAAGAGATCTATGAGAAACTACAGCTAATATCCTACTTAATGGTGAAAGATGAAATGCCTTTCTTCTAAGTATGGAACAGTGCAAGAATATCAGCTTTCAGAACATTTATTCATAATTGTACTGAAAGTCCTAGTCGGTGAAATAAAAAAAGGAAAAGAAATAAAAGTGTACAGATTGGGAAGAAGTAAAATTTTTCTTTATTCTCAGATGATGTGGTTGTCTAGGCAGAAAATTCTAAGGGAATGTAAAGTGGTTCAACCATTTTGGAAAATTGGACGGCAATTTCTTACAAGGTTAAATATCCACTTTCTGTAACACTCAGCAATTGCACTCCTTGGAATTACCAAAGAGAAATTAAAACTTATGTTCACACAACACTTGTACAAGAGTATTTACAGCAGCTTTATTCAAAATAGCCCAAATCTGGACACAAACCAAACACCTATCGATAGGTGAGTAGATAAAACAAATGATAGTACATTCGTTCAATGGAATACAATTTGGCCATAAAAATAAATGGACTATTGATAACATGCAACGATGTGGGTAGATCTCAAAAACATTATGTTGAGTGAAAGAAAAAAGGCACATACAATGTGATCCATTTATATGAGACTCTAAAAGAGGCATAAGTAGTAACCTAGGTGAGCAGAAGCAGAGAGAGGCTGCCTTGCTTGAGAGTGGGCCAGGGGAAAGCACGGACTGCAGAGGGTGCACGAGAGCCTTCGTAGACAGAAACGTTATGTATTTCATTGCGGAGGGTTGTTATGGATGTATGAGTGACAACAGTCACTGACTTGTTACACTTAAATAAGGACATATTATACTTCAGTAAAGTTGATCTTGAAAAAGGCAAAAATCAATGAAGATAAGGATTATACTAGAATTTTGGACATGTGATTTAAGCAGCATTCTGAATGTATTCTGATTTTATTGTCATATACGTTTCTTATAGGCATCTACTTTCTTCATGTGGAAAAAAACCTACTGGTTAAGCCACGTCAACTGGCTGAGTCTAAAGTCCCTTGATACGTTTATAGTATTAGCTATACTCAGAGAGGCAGGAAAAATCTCTGTGAAACAAGGCAGAGGCAGGGAGAGAAGAAGGTGATGGGCAACAGGATTATCCATAATGAGCCAAAAAGGAGGGACTGTGCCAGGAGAGTCTAATTATCCTGCAGGAAGAGAAGAGAAGACTGGACTATCTTACATACTCCAGCTTATTAGTTTTCTGAAACCAGACTGACTCCATGCTTCCCATTTTTATAGTAAGCTATCCTGGACCACTTAGGATGTGAGAGGATGTGGATAAAGAGAGATCGGAGGGAATAAAGAGATGCCCTAGCTATTGCCACTGGCTACCTACTTGCATATTTAGATTCTGGCTGGCTCGCCACTACCATTCTTTTTTTTTTTTTTTTTACAAGTCTGCATTACAAAGCAGCCAGGTTATATTTACCGCAGTTTCTCCATATCCGTACTTTACAATCAGAAGTCATATTTAAGTAGACAACCCTTTTATTCCCTAGACTACGATTTTATTAAAAATGACTACTTTCCGCAGGTGAGTAGCCCCATGAAGGCCTGTCCTGTGTGTCACCTACCTCCAATGATTGCCGAGTTTCTGTTGACTCCATTTCTTATAGCTTGGCCTTGTCCTGGATTATATGGAAAATCAGCACTGGCTGTAGAGAAGGAAATGAAAGGTCAAGCAGGAGAGTCAAGGACACCATTAATCCCGCATGATCTGACACTTATCTTTTCATATAATTCTTCAACACTTCCTGTTTTCCCAAATGAGATCCCCATTTCAGATGTGCCAATTTTGCTACAGTTTCCCATGAGAATCGTAGCAATGTCCATCCCTGTTCCTGCTGTTTCCCTTTGCACAAAGCTCAGGTAAGGTCTATCCCTCCGTTGGAGGAACATTAGAGAATCTAAAACTACCTGAGCTGCGTGCGACAGTTCCCATGATAGCTTATGTATCACAATACTTTTCCTTAAGTTAGGCTGAAATCTGCCTCCTGTCCTCTCTTATCCCATTCACAGCTGGTGGCACTGGATAAATTTATAGTCGAGCTTTTTACAGCTTATGGCATTAGTTTAAAAAGTAATCATTTAAGTTAATATTTACATGGCTCCAATAAAACATTGTACATGTTAGGCATGTGTAAGGGGGTAATATTTCATAAAAGCTGAGAATATTCATTGCCTAATAAATATTCTATTTCTTTTCCTGTTATAAAAAATAAGTATCAGCTGTATTAACTTTAGATGTTTCTCAAAGATAAAATAAATTTCAAGCACACAAAAAGCAAATAGATCCTGAAGTCTATCTGTAAGTCAGGAGAGTATCATCATCCACAGAAGCTAATTCAGCTCCCAAAATGATTCCATGTTTGCTGGACTTCTGCTTGAGAAGTTGAGGGTTGAGGTAAATCTCTCAAAGGAAGCGGCTTCTGCCACAGAGGGTTGTCTTAGTCTAACCAGAGGTGTGGCTATTGGATGGCAACAACTAAATGTAAACAAAATCACAAGTAGTCGTCTGGCATAGCTAACTGTGTTCACACCGAGGAGGTAGGCTTGTGCTACGATTCAGGGAGAATCTCAGTTTTTCTAAGGCTCACGTGTTCCCAGGGCTATGGACTTCCAAGAATCCACAGAATAAAGATGAAAAGTCGATAGAGCCCTTTCTCCTACTTCTCCCCAGGAAACATGGGAACCAAACAGGGAGACTCCCGATTCTACCAGCACATGTCATTCAATCCTTTCTCTTAGACTCGATATACTTACTTAGGACCAGGAAAATGATCCTTTCCTAGAGGTTTCGTACTCTAAATTAGCTCAGCCATCAGTGCCGTGCACACCCACTGATTTGACTAAAGCCACAGACACGAAGCAACGAACACATGAAAGAGAATGCTGAACCCCTGGACTTTTCACATTCCCCTAAATCTTTAATTGGTGAATGTGGAAGAGACCTTTCAGTGGTATTTGCTCGCTTTAACTGGTCCAGTCCTCAGTCTAGTGAGACGGGTAGGAAAACAGGCAGAGCCGACGCGAAGCAAAGTGCAGTTAGTCACTTTCCTGCGCCCCATCAGGATTTTCTGGGTAGACAGAAGGGACTAATATTCAAAATTTCAGCATCGGCCCAAGAATGTGGTGCTCTCGCTTTTATAGGCTGATCGTGCAATATTAGATTGATTATAAAATTCCCTGCACAAATAAAACTGGCTTACATAAAAACATATCATATTTTTAGAAATCTCAGCTTTCTTCTTTAAATCTGAGTTTTCTTTTCAGAGAAGTATTATTAGTAGATGTGACAAATTCATTCATTCATTCATTCAATCTTTGTAGAGTGCATACTATATATCAGGCATTTAAGTGCTGGGGATACACAGTGAACAATAAAATAGACAAAAATTGTTAGTAATGAGAGCTTTCCACGCCTCATTGAAGAGTCTGGTTTGTATAGTCAGAACATTGACCTAAAGCAAGATGTGGTCTTGATTATGACCTGATCCACCTATAGTGAACTGTCTGAATTGTTCTGAAGATACGACACTGTAGCTCATGCACTCAGAGCACAGGAAGGCTAGGTTACTAGTGCACGCAATTCCCTGACTAAGCCATCCTTTGAAGCCTGAGAGCTGCTTTTCAAGGATGAAAACTAACACCTTCACTGCCCATCTTTGGCACAGTTTCCAGGCCTTTTCATGTTGTAATTACCCTTCCCTGCACACTATTTTGTCCATGTCCTTCTAAAAAGTCATCAGGCTTGGGATCAGAACCCAAGTAGGGTTAATTCCCAAGTCAATACTCTTCCCTACCTTGCCTCTGAGGGCCAGGAAGGGACAGACAGGTGGGCTGTGGAGGAAGTCCGGCTCTCACACACTCAGCGTGGGCAAGGCCTATGAGAGGAAGGGTTTTTTTAGGGGACAGGGAAGGAAAATTTGTCTTGTTTTGGACATATTGAGTTTGAGGTACCTATAAGATACTAGGTGGGGAGAGCTACTACACATTTGGCTGTCTTGAGAGGGGTCATAGTTCTCATCTCCTTCACACACACACACACACAGACACACACACACACGAATCTCCTGCCCTCCTTTAAATAATATGAACCTTTAAAATATATTTGGTGACAAAAAAAATCACAATGGTAATTTTGTTATTAACTTACTGTGTAATATTGACAATATTATGAAACTGTTTACTTTTCTATTTCAGGTAACGTGGATGTAGCAAATAGCATAGTTTCTCTGTAGCCTACTGTACGGTTTTGCGTCCTTGGCCACAAAACTGCAGAAAAACAGATATTGATATGCTTCTCCCTGGTTCCCTGGAAGTTACTGACAAAAACAGTAGTGGAAGGTGTGGATGTGACCTAAAGTGATCCAAGGAGAATGACAAGAGCTTGAAGAGACCATGAAAAAATATCCCAGGATTGCCTTTGGTACAAAATCCAAATCCTTAGGCAGGGATCAGAAGGCTCCCTTGAGCTGACTTTCTCTCACACTATACACTCCACGCACTTTTCTTCTGGGTCCTCAGATGATGCTACGTGGTGATGACCACCAAAGTGTGGCACTAGTCCAGCTCTGATCTCCTGTCTCCTAGGAGTGTGGGTATTTCTGCGTCTCTCCCTTGCAGACATCCTTCTTGTCTGTCTGGTTGTCCCTGTTACAGTGACAGACTGTGTGTTTCCTTTGCGCCACCCAGAGATCCGCTCCCCTCCCCTCCCCCACCCAGTGCGGCTCGGGCAGAATGTGCTGCGGCAGGGATGCTGGTGGCAGAGTCTGCTCCCAGGTGCACGCTCACGAAGGGCCTGGCCGAGGCTTCCACACCCATCTGCACCGTCACCCTTCTCGCCCAGAGAAGGCTAATGGGTCATACGCCCCCAACACGTTCAGATACAAGTCGTGTTCACACTCGAACACGCAGACATTCTTCCGGTCCCTGTCTCTGTCTTCCACGTGAGAAGCATCTTCTTCCATCTTCAGGTTGAAAAAAAAGGAAGTAACAACACACAAACTTTGTGAGGACAGGCCTAGGGGAAGTCGCTCCATCCCCATGTGAGCCTTGTGGGGTGGCCACAGTCATCCCCTCAGGAAACCAAGAACTCGTCTGAGGTGTGTGACCAGTCAGTGGTGGAGCCGGGGTTTGAACCAGGAAACTGGCTCCAGAAACCACTTGTGAAACACTAAGCTGAGCTGTCTCTGATGAGAAGGGACTGGTCTACACTGGATCAATCAAACTGTCAACATCATTGCATGGTCTTAAGACAACATCTGAGCCCAGTCGTTTCTCTGTGGTCAGTGGGCTGTCTGCAGATGCCAGCGATTTACCTAAAGGCTTCTGGCTGCACTTGTTGGGCTTCAAAAGCTCAGCATGAAGAGATGTTTTATCTGACGAAGGATAACTCCGCGAGGGAACAGTATCAGCGGAACCACATGGTAAACTAAGATCTGAAGCAACACTGCAGAAGGACGAAAACCCAACAGGCCCGGTCCCACATACGAACCCTCCTGGGCCCAGCCAGCATGGGGGTCAGGGGGGTGGTTATCACCATCACAGAAACACATGCGAGAACAGTGCTCATTGTGCTTTAAAACGTTACTGTCAGGGTGTAATTTTTGATTGCATTTAGAGAATATGTAAAATTAATAGACCTTTCAAGGCAGGTGCTTAAGTACAAAAAACTGGGTTAAAAGACAGTTGTAAGAACAGAATATTAAAAGAGATTTGAATTCTTTAACCTCACATTTCTTGCCTGTCCTGCTGAGCGGGTAGGGAGAAGATAGAATAATAAAGCATTTTTTTTTTTTAATACAGAAGATAAATGAAGTACTTGTTATTATTTATTACGTTTCAAATATGTAAAACTGTAGACTTGAGGCTCAGAAACCAATTACGAATAAAACACACATTTAAATGCATATAAAAATAAATTGAGATGATCTAACATAAACCCCCCCCAGAATAAAAGGCACTAAAAGCTTTAGGTTGTCATATATCGGGGACAAAAAAATTAGATAGTAGCTGACATCTCCTAGAGAAAATATCGCCATGGAAACTACTTGAGCTTCAGCATCTAAAGTGATAATCTGAAACATTCCAACAAAACCGCTGTTATTAATTATAATTTAATCCAAATCGCAACATTAGTTTTTGCACTGGGGTCTCGGCTAAGTGATGTATGTCTGCCTTTATTCAAACCAGCTTCTTTGTTTCATTTCACTGTATTTTCTCCCTTCAAATCTGAGTTCTATGACAGAAAATTATTTTTTCAGATAATTTCTTTTAGCCATTTGCCATTGACTGATATTTTAGAAACAGATACGAAAACAAATGGCTGTCGACAAAGAAGCTGTAGACATGAGGGGGCGCTGTTTTGTTTTCGGTGGGGGCTGCTGCTGGTCACACTTTCCGGAGGGAGAGGTTCTGGAGGCCGTCAGGTCTTCATCCAGGGACTGAGCCTGCGTGGACCTCTGTGAGCCTCAGTCTCACGTTTGTGCGGAAAACTTTCACCTCAGTTTCTACAGAAGGAGAGTCAGCTGGAAATTCTGACTTCAAATGAGAAAGAGATTATGAATCTTTGGCTTCTGACTTGGGAAGTGAAACAAGCCTTACATTTCTAGCTTCTTAATAGGGAGGGCAGGTGGCAATCCAGAGATCAAAG